GGCTACACTCGACAGGCCAACTTGAACCCGGCTAAAAAAAATTAAGTTCAAGTTTGGTTATATGAATTTTTTAAGAGGATATAATACTCTAAACCTAATTCAAATAAGCTGTCTGAATTGAGCCTAACTTGAATAAGTTCGAGCTTAAATTATCAACTTTAATTAATACACACTTTCCCCTTCGCCCTCTTTTCTACTAAAAGAAAAAACATGAATTGTGCATTCTCCTTTCCCCTTTGCCTCGCAGGTTCAACTATTGGCCGACAAGCTCAACTCTTAGGATATTATAACTAATTAGCCATTATTGTTATTGATTTTAGGCTGAGAAAATTCTTATAAAATAATTTGAAAATGAATAAATATTTAAATAAATTACATTGAACTAGGATGAATGATGAGATCTATGAGGACAACAATAAGAGACTGATATTCACCTATTTAGAGGAGGCTAATTTACATTTCAGTAGTTAATTCTCACAACTATTATGACAATAATCATGAATATATTTTATTAATATTTTCAATTTTCAAATTTAATGTGCAGCGCCTAATCAATTGTTATTCTTCGAACTTAATTGAGATGTGACTCTAGGCCTATATTTAGATAAGCTAAATCATGTTTATGTTTCTATAGCTAAAATTATGTCTCACCTCTTAGTTGTTCGCCTAATTTCTATAATCAAGCATTGACCACAGAGAAAAAAATAAATCTAAAAAGAGTTAAAATTATTTCATATAATAAAAGAGTTCAAATTCAATAGTCAAGCACATAAAATTCAAAAAATCTCTGTTGAATTAGACTACATCCACGTTCCATGTGTATTCTTAGCTTAAAAATCTCTCTCTTTTTGGCAGCTCTTTTTATTTACCAACAGACTTAATTAAAGACCATTTCTTTCTTTTTTTTTTGGGTTCAAAAACAGGGGCAAATCTAAACACACACATGTATGTATTCAAACACACAAACACATACATTAATTAGTTTATGTTTGAATTTATGACTTGTGAAGGTCTGAAGGAGGATTTTGTGCTGCTAGGTCCAAAGGTCTTAGGATTTCATTATTATTTTTATTAAAGACCATTTCCTAATTCTACCAAGTCTCCAGAAACATTTTTCTATTAGTTTTGTTTTTTTTTTTCATACAAGCTTTTTCCATTAGCTGAATGATTCATGTGATCACTTAACTTCATATTTATTGATAAGAGAAAAATCGGCCGTGCAACGTACGTGGATGAAACATTTTCACCTTTTTTTTTAATGAAAAAAAATGCACTGAATAGACCACCCTGAAACTCGTCCAAACACACACTCATATAAAATCAAGCAATCAAGACTTAAAAAGTTAAAATCAATATATTTTAGCGGAAATTAAGGCATAAAAAATGGATGCATTAAGACTTAATATGCATATTTATTAATTTAAAAAGCTAGCTAAAACCAAGACGATGTGTTGAGGTGGCGTTTTGGAAGCATATAATAGATAATAGAACAGCTTCAAGGCTAGCCGACCATTCTTGTTCTTTACGGGGTGTTTGTCAATTTGATTAATCACGCTAACTAATTAATTGACTTTAATTATACTTTTCTTTGTCGATTAAAACCCAAGTTAGTTTTAGAACAACAAACAATTATGATGACTAAATATGCCAATCATGTCGACATCTTAATAATTTCATTCTATTGGCCAGTGGCTATCGCCAGCAAGTATATAATTATTAAATGCATTTGATATTTCATGCGCCCAAAAAATAAATTTAACTTACATTTAAACAATGTGTTTTTTTTTTTTTTCGTTATGGAAAAAAGAACAGAACCAGCGTTGGGATGAGAGGAAGCCATGTGGAACTCGTGAATTCTTCAAAAGTTAGGTCGTTCAACACACAGTTTTTGTCTTTCCAGGTCAAATATAGGAAAGTACATTCCAATGCGTGAAAGGTCAAATGAATTAGTGTAGTTCCTTATATTTTAGGATTAAATGATATTTTTATCCTCTAACTATTTTAAAATTTTTTATACTGCAATGTTTCCTTGCAATAATTTAAAAAGTGTAAGCTTGCCTTCATTATTAATATATATTAATTTTAATTATTAGTTAACTTAAAAAATTATATAAAAAGACATAAAATTATAAAAAATGAAAAAAATGTAAACAAGTATCGTATAAGAAATTTAATACTGATTAATTCACCTAAATTATAAATACTTCCTCCGATCATATTTATGAATCACTTCTTGCATTTTTATCAGAATCAAAAAAAATTTTAAATTTTATTAATTTTGTTTAAAAATTAAACAAATTTTTAATTTTATCTTTATTAAATATATATTACATATTTTAAAAATAAAATACTTTCACGTTTAATAACATTCATAACTCTTAATAGGAGAAAACATTATTACTCATAAATAGAACATGTCTTATAAATAAAACTAAAACAAATACTATTTTTATTTTGTAAATAAGATTGGATGAGTAAATAGTAAAAGACCAATGTTATTTCTCAGTAAGTAAGAAATCAAAACGCTATTTTGACAAACCACTCTAATAAGCTATGGGATGATTATTTGATTATCATTGCTGGCAACAATACTGATAATTAATTCATATATTTGTTTCAATAATATCATATTAATACATTAACATTTTAATATTTAATAATTTTTATCATCCTCCTCATCATCATCATTATTAAGATAATCCAATAATACCTTGATAATTAGTCAAAGTGACTAATTAAATTTTAGACTGTTATATAGGTAAACAATATTAGTAGTTTTTTAAAATTTATTTTTAATTTAAGCGACTTAACAAATGTAGAAGGATGACATTGTTTTTTTTTTTGAAAACTAGAATATCAAATATTCATGTGCTTGAGGTAGAGGGCAAAAATGTCCTAAAAACCTATAATTAAAAAAAAACTTATTGTTAATGTAAAGATATTGTTAATGAATAAATTATACATCTTTTTATTATAATTTTTTTGAGTTTCAAGTCCTGTTCCAATTTTGAAGAATCCTCAAAGTCTTTTAAAATTTTGTATTATCAATAAAAATGTCTTCATTTCATCAACGGAAAAATATCCTATCAATATGTTTCTTTAGTGGAAAAATATTATTCGTATGTTCTTTAGAAAATGCGACAGAAAGTGAAATTAACAACTTCGACAATGCATCTAATTACCCATACATCCTCATTTTGGACATTAAGCCACTCAAGTTCTATTGCTTTCTAAACAAATAAATTATTCGAACGATTAACTCTTTTTAACATTTAATGGATATTATAATATGATATATTAATGTGTCTTTCATATTTTTAAAAATCATGACCCTAACATCGTAATTATTTATATTGCATTATTGGTAAAATATTATTGAGTAAAGATGCATTTTTCAAGGAGCACCCAGCTAGCATATTAAAATATTAGTTGGAACAATTTTGACTTTTAAAGTATTTCATTCATTAAAAAATGTAAGACATTTTTTGAGGAGTTGGATGTTAAAAAAATGTAAGACATTTTTAGTCTTTTAAGGTGTAATTATTGTCTTTTTTTTCGAAAGTGTCTTTATTGATAATAACTTTATATTTATTGTAGTGTGCTTAGTAGAGGTAAATATAAGAAGATAGAGTTAGTTTGAAAGTAGATAACTACTTTGAGAGGTAAGATTCAATTAAAAATGCTTTATATTTTAAAACAGAGGGAGTAATTAAAATAGAATATTTTTACCTTTTTCGTTAAATTTCTTAACAGTTAACATTGGAGTCCTGATTAATATTTATAATGGTTAAACTTGAGAATTTGATGGCAGCAAAGGCGAAAGTGCCTTATTTTAAATACTTTAAGAGTGAAATTGTTCTAACCAATAATTTATGGTGCTAAGTGTTTTTTAAAAAATACTTTAAAGATAAAAATACATATTTACTTAATATTATTTGAGAAAAATATAATTTTAAATTCCTACATTTTATTTAAATTTTACTATAAGTCCCTTCACATTTTTTTTGACATTCTAGATCTCTATATTTTTTCTTTTTAATGTTTTAAATCTCTTTATAAATAATGTTATAAATGTAAGGATTTAAAGTTAAGTTTTATTAGTTATTTGTGTTTCTTTGACCAAGGGCTCATTTTATTAGAGCTTGGCGACTTATACAATACAATATTTATCAAAATTTTTGCCAAAATAAGTAGTGAAATCATTTCAAAACTAGCACATGGATACCATGCTATTACATTATTTATGATTTATAATGTGTGATTTTTAATAAATTTTATGTTATATGAAGATATATAAATTATGCAAAAAAATATTAATGATATCTTTTACTCCCTTTATTAAAAAATATAAGATATTTTTATAATTGAGATGTCAAACAATATAAAGATTTTTTTACCTTTCAAAATGTAATTAATAAGGTTTTTTGTTCATAAAAAATGAGATTTTTCAAAAATGCTATCAATAGGAGTGTCATTAATAATATTTTTTTAATTAACATATTTTATTAAATAAAAATAAATATAAAAAATATTTAATTTTAAAAATAATTAATTAACTTATTAGATTGCCATCAAGAATGGAGGTAAAGGAGGAGGGAATGGTTGCCCCTGCACTTCAATCATCTCTTGAAAAAATAAAAAATAAAATTTTTCTCATAAAAAATATAAAATGGATTTTGGCCTCACTACTTTACATTTTATTTTTAAGTTGGCCCCTTTTAATTAGCTCCTGGGTCTGTTTTTACATATAATTTAATTAAATATTTTATAAAATTAAATAGAGGAAATATTAAATAAATATTAGTTTCATTTCCCCTTCTTTGCATGGGCAACATTAAACTAATTCACAGCAAAACCTTCCTAAGCAGCCAGCAGCAGCACGCTAACCACGGAAGTAGTAAATAACACGTAAGCCAAGGGCATAGTGGTAAAACCACCTTCCCTACTAGCTCTCATTGCTTCTTCCTTCCTTTTATTTATGCTTGAAGTCATTGAAAAGCTCCCATTTCTCTTCTATTCAGTTCAGGAAGCCTTCAGTTTTGTACTTTTGTTCTTTTTCGTCATTCTTCGTCAACCGAAAGAAATTCTCAGCCTCTTGCTCGTAGTTTTTCTGAGCTTTGTTTATCAAAGAATAAAAAAGGTATAATCTTTTATCGGTGCTGGAGAAAGCGAGATGTGCGGAGGTGCTATTATCTCCGACTTCATTCAGACGCCGGAGGCCAGGTCTCGCCGGCTTACAGCCGATATCCTCTGGCCGGATTTGAAGAAACCCAGTTCGGGGAAGCGATTCTCGAAGCCCACTAGGTCTGGATTCGGGGATTCGGATGGTGATTTCGAAGCTGATTTTAGAGAATTCAAGGACGACTCTGATATCGATGAGTTGGATGTGGATGATGATTTGCTGTTCGATTTCAAGACCTTAGGTTTCTCCGCTGTCAAACCCCTCAAGCCTTCCGGATCCCTCTCTCGTGGTATATATATATATATATATATATATATATGTACATATATATTTTTGGGGGGTTTAAATCACGGGTCATTTGGTTGTTATATCCAGCTTTTGATTTAACTTAAATAGTTGTGTTAATGTTCACTTACAGCATAGATTATTATTTTTTAAAACAATTGCAGCCTTTGAATCTTTTTATCAGGTATTATCGGGAAAATTACTAGTTTTGATTTTTCACATGGAATTCGGTTTTCAAAATATTTTTTGGCTGGTTTATGTTCCTCTAAGCTCTTTTTACTTCATATTTTTAGATTTGTGACCTTGCGATAAGCTTAGCTTTATTACTTCGATTAATGTTCATTAATACGTTTTTCCTTTACTGGTTAATGAAACATAGTCCTCCTTTATGCCTTGCGCATCCGCTCCATGAATCACTTGCAAGTGATTACAGCATAAATATGATCACGTGGATCCTCTTTGGAACGGTTTTATTTGCTTGGATAATACTTCAGAACACGGATTGCGGAGTTCTGAAATGTTCATAAAATCTTCTTGAAACTGATCTCATGCTGCTTGATTTCGTTTTTGCTCCTCTGTGCACATATGTAAAAGCAGGAGTGTGGTTAGCCTGTTAGCCTAATGGGAGTTGCTTTTGACGACCACACTATATATCCCTATCAGATTACAAAATCTATATTAGAGAGGTAGATGCGATTCCTTTTTGCCGTGAAAATCTGTGTTATTTGTTTCAAACTTTGACATTTGCGGATCAAGATATAATTTTTTATTGGCTGTTCAGTAATTGAGCTTTAATGGTGTTTTAGATGCGATATTGCATTGAATATTGCTGGTTCTTTTGCTTCTGTCTTGTTACTTAAATAACTAATACTTTCCAAAGAATCAGTTGTCAAGACCCAAAAAATCTCGGATTACAAGCTGTGCTTGATTCTAGATACCCCTTCATCTTACTGCAACTTCCTTACAGATCAGTCTTTTTTGTCATTTCATGTGTTATTTACTGCAATCATCCCTTATTCTGTAACCTGTATGTGCATGTGTGTTTATTTAGATGCTTGAGCTGTTTTTTCTTGATATTACTCTTTTTACTTGTACTGCAAATCTATTATCCTTGCTTTGCCCATATTATAGTTTTTTCTTTTCTTGTTACATTGAAGGATCCGGTCCCATAAAATCTGTGAAATTCAAGGGAAAAGCTAACAAGTCTGAGAAAAGAAAGAGGAAGAATCTGTATAGGGGAATCCGTCAGCGCCCATGGGGAAAATGGGCAGCTGAGATCCGTGACCCAAGGAAAGGTGTCCGTGTCTGGCTTGGAACCTTCAACACTGCTGAAGAAGCAGCTAGAGCCTATGATGCTGAAGCACGTAGGATTCGCGGTAAGAAAGCCAAGGTGAACTTTCCTGATGAGGCTTTAGGCTCTCCCCCAAAACAATATGATGTAAAACACTCTGTTCAGCCCATTATGAACCAGAAATTCAATGTTGGGAACAACGCAAAGGACTACATCTGTCCCATGGGTCTGATGGACCAGAAACCACTGGTTAATCAGTATGCTAACATGGGAGGCTTACCCAGCTGTGGAGATGGGCTCACGTCTTTCACACCATTGGATGATGTTAATGTTCCTGTTTGTTTCAGTTCAGATCAAGCAAGTAATTCGTATGATTATTCTGGTATCGGGTGGGGTGAACAGGGCCTAAAGACACCTGACATCTCGTCAATGCTTTCTGCTTCTATAGAAGATGAATTTCAAGCTGTTAGTGATGCCAACCAGAATAATAACATTCTTGACTGCCAGGGTGTGCTGTCTCTGGAAAATGATTCTGCAAAGACACTGTCTGAGGAACTTGCAGATATTGAATCCCAGTTGCGGTTCTTTCAGACGCCTTACCCTGAAGGGACTTGGGATGATGCTTCATTAGAAACCTTGCTTGGTGAAAACACAGCTCAGGATGGTGAAAACGCAATGGACTTTTGGAGCTTTGATGCTGGGGGAATTTTCTGAGCAACTTTCTCATTATCTTCTCATTCTTGAGAATATAGTTACAAGTACGTATTTTCTTATTCCCCTTTTGGTCCTATAATTGTATTCACTCACGGACTAACTAATTTGGGTTTCTCCTTGAAAAACCGAAACGGATAATTGAGTCCTTGATTTCTTGATTTTGGGGATAACTGGTCCATTGTGAGTCAATCAAAAGATTGGATTGAATCGAACTAAAATAAGTCAAGGTCTGTACGATAGATTATTTTTCTTTCCAGAGAAAACCCAAGTGATATTTTCAGGGACCAAAATGTAATATTCTTCATAACGAAGTATCATTGGTTTCTGAAATAAAATACAATGTTTTGTCCAATTGATTGATTTCAGGAATGGTGTTCATCTTTGTTGGAGATTGAGTCAAGACAAAGCGGACCCTCTGAAGCATGCCTGGATGGTTATTCTCTGAACGCTGGTAAGAAAGTAAGCGCGGGACTATGGATATGTAGGTGTACATGTCAAACACCTTAACTCTTAGAGATTTTGAGTTTGCCATTCATTCATGAGGATGATTCTGTCAAGTGTGTGATGCAGTAAAATGTTAACTTGGTTGTTTTCGATTATGGCCAATCAAGTGGATGCATCAATTAACCCATTTTTGAATAATTTATCTGGTTTTGTTCAGAGTAGTGCTTGCAGGTCTCTTATAGTTAGTAATTACCTCCACCAATTTGAGTCCCGGAGGTCTTGTTTCTTCGCCACTCCTTTGTTTTTATTTTTTTGAATGGAAAGCTAGCTCATATTAATACTAAACTGTGCGAAAACGTAGTCCAGGGGGAATTAGTGCTCGAACCCTCTTGAAAAGTACGGGCCTTTGGTGTTCTTGAAGAGGGGTCAGGCTCCTGCTGTGGTGGTTTCTTCTGCAGAATTGGCCTGCGTTAAGAAAACTATGACCTTACCAACGCAGATCGACCTCAAGGTATTTGTCCTATGATCTTGCTCTATGGATGCACTGACGTTGGCTTTTGGGAGCTATGGCAGTGAAAATTGAAGACAGGAGGAAAATCTGCGTCAACGAACTTCTTAGCCTAAGAAGGGTTCAATAACCCCCTGTTTGAATTGAACGAAAAGTTGAGAAGAAAGAAAATGAGAGAAAAAAAAATGGAAAGAAACTTGTATTTGGATGGACAATAGATAATAGGAATGAAGAAAAATGAACCAATATCCCAATGATTACAACACTCTTATATCAAAATATTTATGTTTAATGTAATGATCTTTATAAAAATATGTTAAAATTAAAAATTATATAAAAATTAACATCATTAAAATAGTTTAAAATCAAATTTGTTGGTAGAAATTATTTTCATGTTACTATATTTTAAAATCAAATAATTTAATAAAATATGTTATTTTTAATTTAAAGGATTAAAAGTGGATAAATTTTAAAAATTAAATACAATTACATAAAAAGTAAATTACAGTTCAGCTACTGCCTTGCTGGTGAGAGCACTTTGCTTTCACCTATAATCATGAGTTTGACTTGGCAGCGAGCATATCCAACTAGAACATAAAAAATAAATTATAAATGCATAATATCATAAAAATATGAAAGACACATAGTTATAAAAATATGCAATTTGTAAAAAAGATGAAAATATGCATAGCCTTGAGATAGAGCTACGTGAGGGCTGAGGGTATGATGCAAAGCATGGAGGGTCGGAGATGATCAAGCAAAAGCTAGCTCGTGTCAAATAATATGCAAATACAAAGAAGCAAGAGGGAAGGAGGTAGACATGAAATGAATATTTTCCTCCCAAAATCTCTTTATATCTGGAGAGAATATGGTGGGTTTTACATTTTATTTTTTCCCTAACATTTTCCTAGCTCTCACTTTTTTTTTCCTCATCCAAACAAGAGAAAAAGTTGCTTTCTCCCTTATTTTCTTTTCTCCCACATTTCATCTCATCCAAACATAGTGTAAGAGAAGAATCATCTGGCGATTTTGTGAATAAGATGTAATATGTACACGAGTGGTGCAGATTCTATGAATCTGAGCGAGTTACTGATTGCTACATTCAATGATATGTGTTAGAATGGTACAAGGATTGGAGAGCTAGCGAGGAAGGTGATGATTAACCTTATGGCCTTCAGCGTGGGAGATTATTTCCCTTCCTTTCCTTTGGTTAGGTTGATGTTCTCACTAGTCTCATTTTGGAGTTGAAGGCCATATTCTATGCATAGGCAATTCAAAGAGAGCAGAAGAGTTTATTCTTGAGATTCGAGAATAATGAAATATTTGGTTCAGGAAGAAGAGGGTATCCTAGGATGATGTTCGGTGTTGCTGCTGTTAAATCCATGCTCCTTTGACTGGAAGCTATTGGAATATTTATATGGATTTACATTTGATTAATAGGCCCAAATAGATTGATCTTTATAATCTCATATGGATCGAGGTAGGTGAACCACACAAGTGAGCCCAATGAGCAAAGGCCCAACCCACAATCCAGTAGTCGTCAATTATTTTCTATTTTTTAATTGATTGAGTCAGAGATAATGAAATATAATTATTTAATAAAGCGGTTACTGTTCTGATTCTTATAAGTCGATTAGTCGATAACTGCAAACACATGATACATTTTCTTTTGCTCCATTATCTCTGCACTTTTTGAAGACTCTAGGACCAGTGGGTTGTGGGTATATCTACACTCAAGGTAATCGAGCTTTTTCAAGTGATCAATGAATTCTTCAGGTATGCACATGTTTCTTTATTCTATCTTATTAGATCATATAAGAATTGAGATATTAAATGTAACACGTGGCATCAAAGCCTGATTATGAATATTAATTTATATATCTCAATTCAATATGCTTATGGAGATCATGATAAATTGGATAGAAATTCCTTGATTTGTTTATCATATTCATGTATGTTTAGTTCTCATTTTCCATTCTTATTGAATATGATAATGAAAATTAAATTCATCAGAGATCTGATTATTCTTTATAAATAATCTTGATGCCTGTTGTTGCTATAATCTTGATCTCTCGTATTATTTTTTTTATTTTGTTGGTGCCGTCTACGTTGCCGTTGCTTACTTGTTGGAGATCTTCCCTCTTAACTTTGAGAGGTTTTGTTGTCGCTTGAGAGAGAGAGAGTTCAGGATTTTTTTTTGACATGGCCGCTGGTATGCAAAAGAGCTTTTGTCGTTGCCGCTGCGCCTTGGCTATTAACGTTGTCTTGCCTTCACCGTCGACGGAGATTCTTTAGCTGGCATCGTTTCCATTGTTCTGGTTCAGCGGAGACCACAGAGATGCAATAATGGTTAGTTTCACGCTGCCGGAGCAATTGCCGGCATAGTGGCAGGTCGTTGCATAGTTGTCGGTGTTGTGGTCGTCGACTGGTTCAATGTGCCATCATTGTGCTACCCTCCCATGGCTTCTGTAGCTCACGGCAATTGGAAGATGCAATAATAAGGTTACAAATTGGATCCTAGGGATTCGGTTTCATAGTTTTGGGCCTAAATTTCATTTGGGCTCAGATTTGTAAAAAAAAAAATATTCGTTCTAGGCCCAAAACATATTAGGGCAGATCAGTGTAAAAAAAAATCCATAAATTATGTTTTGGCCCTAATTTAAATTACCTCCTTGGCCCATTATTTCTTTTATTCACGATGTGACCCAAAAAAATTTTAAAAATTATATTTGAGTCCCCTAACTTTCAGAATTATGTTTTGGACCCAAATCTCTTTCAAAATTATTAATTTACCCCTGGACACATTTTAAAATTCCTCTTAAGTCTCAAATTTGTTCTCTAATTCTCAAAAGGTCCTAAGGACTTTTGAAATTATTTTGTTTTGTCCTAAGGTCATAAAATTTATAACTTTGTGAATTATTAGTGATGCTTAAGATCTTGCAGTATCGGTAATGGACATACCCCATAGGTGTGACATTATTAATGTAATTTTGATGGTTGGTTTTTGAGGATAGGCTAATAGCACTTTTTTTTTAAATGTGTTAGATATTTGTTGTACCCTATAGGTATGAAAATGTTTAATGCATTATTTTATATAGACTTTTGTATGAGCTAAATTTTTATGGTATGTGAGCCTTCTTGGTGCATGATTATAGTTGCATAATTGATAATTGCTTGTTGGGAAATTCTGTTTTATAATTATGTTGTGTACGCATAATTAATATTTCCCATTTTCTGTTTTACGATTTCAGTTTCTGCTTTTGCGTAACTATCCTTTGTGAAAGCTCTCAATGAGATTAACTATGATGATTAGAAATAGTCCCTAAATATGTATCTGACTATTTCTTAGAAAGATTTAGCTCTGAGAGAACCTAAGCCTGCGGATCTCTCTTTAGAGTCTAATGCTTCTGAAATGGCCTTCTATAAATAATAGAGTGAGTCCAACCGAATTTGTCTAGCGATCATCAAGTACACAATTGAAAAGGGAATTACGAATATCATTCCTGAAAAGGATACTGTAGTAGAATACTTGACAGCTGTTGGTAACAAATACAAGAAGCTTGACAAGATTCAAAAGAACTACTATTTGTCACTTCTTGATAATACTTGATATGATGGAGTTTCTGGTGTTAGGGAGCACATTCTAAAACTTGTTCATTACTATAACAAGCTTAAATCATATGGAACTTGGGTGAAAGTACCTTAGTTTATCGTGTTCTTCAATTATTGCCATCAGAATACGCATTTTTGAGGACTTCATACAACTTACAAGAAGCTGAATGATCTATTGACCAGATGATATCAATAGTCACTCAAGAAGAGGAAGTTATAAAAAAGAATTTTTCTCACTCAGTAAACTATGTTTCTCATAGCTCTAGTAGCAAATCTGGAGGGTCGTATAAGAAAAAGGGGAAGAAGCATAAGGCCCTAAAGCCTAATAATTCAACTTTTAAGAAAGATGGTGATAAGAGTGAGAAGCTGAGGAAGAAACCTTTTAAGGGGTTATGTAATTATTGTAAGAAATCGGGTCACATTAAAGCTAATTGCTTCAAATTGAAGAATAAACAAGAAAGTAAAGGTATAATTCTTTAAATTGCCCCTATAGCTCTAGTTTGTTTTGAATCTAATACCATTAAAACTTCCTTTGACTTATGGTGGCTGGATTCTTGTGCCACTGTATGTGTTTTGAATTCCTTATAGGGGCTAAAAAACTAAAAGATTCCAAGTAAGGCACAGAGGTCAGTCTTTGGCATAACAGGGAGTAAGGCATTAGTTGAATGCATTGGAAGTATTTTTTTGTATTTAAATTATAGTCATGTTTTAAATTTGAACAACGTTGTTTATGTACCTTTTGCGAAGATGAATTTAATTTCAACTTCTGTATTGGATATTTGTGGCTATTCATTGTTCCAAGGAAATAGAAAAATTAATATTTGTTTTGATTCCATTAATGTTGGTTGTGTTTCCTTGACATATAGTTTATATCGATTGAATAATTGGTCACTTGAATGTTCTAATCTTCATATCAATATTGCTATTGGGCATAAACGTCAAAGACCTATAGTCTAGCCATTTTGAAGATGCCTTAGACGGTGGGAGCTCGGTGCTTAGGCATATCACTTTACATGACGAAAGCTGTATTTTGCCTATGCCTATCGTGACAACCCTTTATATTGATAGAAATAATGTCGTGGACTAGGATGAAGCT